GAGACTCGACCCCGGCCGACGCGAAAACGTGGCCAGGTGTCGGCCTGTGCGGGCGTCCGAGCAGTGGGTCACCCGCTGACTCGCAGGAGTAAACTGGTGAACCCCCGCATCCTGCAGGTCAGCACCACTCACCAAGTTCGTCGAGAACGAGGGGAGGTACAGACCAGACAAGGTGCCCGAGGGGGCAGCCGGACACGGGAGGACAGTGGAGAAGTGAGAGAGGACAGGACCCCCAGAGGGGTCAGCCAGGGAGACTGCAACCGGCCGGCCAAGCGGCGTGAGTGTGGTGCGGTCTCGAAAGAAGGAGCGAGAAGCCCCTGAGTCAAGCGTGAAGGTGAGGGAGGCCGAAGCCGACGCAGTACCTGAGAGCGCAGCCTCACCAGTACCTGAGAGTGCAGACGCACTGGCACCTAGAGCAGCAGCCGCAGAAGTACCTAGCGCAGCAGTACCAATGCCCGGGTCGGGCGGGAAACACCGGTAACAGTCACCCTCCTCACTAATAGTCACAGCATACATGGCAGCAAGGATAGCATCAAAGTCAAGATCAAAGATAGCTACGCCAGCCCTAGACAGCTCTCCCCAACGGGGAATCTCACTAGCCTCGGGGAACTGCTGACGCCAAGCGTCCGTCAGGCGGCCAAAGCAGCGCTGGGTGGGGTGGGCACCCCCACACTGCTCACCCGCGCGGTCGCCGGAACGAAGGACGTAGGTGCACGGACCAAAACCCCCACCCCGCTGACGCTGCGTGTACCACTCACGGAGCTGCTGGGGCGGGGGGATGTCCCGCGAACGCTGCTGCTGCTGCTGCTGCTGCTGACGCTGGCCACCACCAGAGCCGCTACGCTGCGGGGCACCACCCCGACCAGCTCCACCCCCTCCGCCACCGCCGCCTCCACCTCCACCACCACCGCTGCCTCCGCTCCCACCGCTGCCGCCACCACCGCCTCCTCCTCCGCTGCTGCCACCGCCACCACCGCCCCCGCCACCACTCCCACCGCCACTCCCACTCCCTCCGCCGCCTCCACCGCCACCTCCACCGCCCCCTTCAGTTCCACCCGCGCCCTTGCCCCCCTTGCCCCTGCCAGGGCGGCGTCTCCCGCTAGGGGCAGACGCCGCGCAGACCGACTCAAGACCAAGCAGGTCGGCAGCAGCAGCAGAGGCAACAGAGGGCAGCAGGGGGGAAGGAGAACACCCCTCAAAGATGGGGGTGCGAGGGTCACCACGAGAGGCTCCTACAGCGACGATGCTCTTCTCCGCCGCCAGGAGGGACTTCTCGAGGAGGTCGACAGTGAGAGTGGTGGGACAGACTGAGAGGAAGTGGTCCCTGACTACGTGAAGGGAGTCAGGGAGGCGTGTGACTATGTAATAGAGAGTGATGTACATGGGGGGGGGGTTCTTGGCGCAGAACTCAGCAGGAAGGGCGGCGCGGTAGCGAGTGTCACTAGTGCGGAGGTGCGTAATGAGGTCAGCGACAGTGGGAAAGGCAGCAAGGTCAGGAAAGAGGTACGGTAGCATGAGGCGGCTCAAGGCAGCAGTGGCAGGGGAAGAGTAGCGCGCAACTACAGCGTCGTACAAGGTCTGAGCACTCTTGTACTGACTAAAGTGCGCGCGCTCAGTGGTAGGCAGGTGGCGACGCACAGCAAGACGTGCAGCAGCATCGCGGGTGGCCCACTGAGAGCGAACAGTGGGGTCAGCATCAGCAGCAGGGGCAGGAGAGGCGCCAGAGGTGAGGTCAAAGAGGGAAAGACCGTCCGTCCTATCGCACTGTAAGAACAGCTGCAGGTCGTCGACCCAGACCTCAAAGTCAATGGCTCGACCCTCAGCGTCAAAAGCGAGGACACTAGGGGTAGCCATGACGACGACAGTGTAGCAGTGCAAGCAGTAGGGGAAGGGCACGCAGTAACAGTGGTGCTGTGCTCACCAGGCAGGGCAGGTCGGGCGGCTCGGCAGTAGGGCGGCCCGGCGGCTGGGCGGCTCGGCGGCTCGGCTGCTGGGCGGCTCGGCTCCCGGGCGGCTCGGCGGCAGGGCGGCTCGGCAGCAGGGCGGCTCGGCTCCCGGGCGGCTCGGCTGCTGGGCGGCTCGGCGGCAGGGCGGCTCGGCGGTCGTAGGCGGCGGGGCCGGTGAGGATAGGCGGCGGGGCCGGTGAGGATAGGCGGCTGGTCCGCGAAGTGGGGCGGCGGGGCCGCGTAGGTGAGGGCGGCGAGGCCGCGAAGGCAAGGGCGGCGAGGCCGCGTAGGTGAGGGCGGCGGGGCCGCGAAGTGAGGGCGGCGGGGCCGCGAAGTGAGGGCGGCGGGGCCGCGTAGGCAAGGGCGGCGAGGCCGCGACGTGAGGGCGGCGAGGCCGCGAAGGCAAGGGCGGCGAGGCCGCGTAGGTGAGGGCGGCGGGGCCGCGAAGTGAGGGCGGCAGGGCCGCGAAGGTGAGGGCGGCGGGGCCGCTTAGGCAAGGGCGGCGAGGCCGCGTAGGTGAGGGCGGCGGGGCCGCGAAGTGAGGGCGGCGGGGCCGCAACGTGAGGGCGGCGGGGCCGCGCAGGTGAGGGCGGCGGGGCCGCGTAGGCAAGGGCGGCGAGGCCGCGACGTGAGGGCGGCGGGGCCGCGACGTGAGGGCGGCGGGGCCGCGTAGGTGAGGGCGGCGCAACGGGCCGCTAGGGGCGACACGGAGGGTCGCTAAAAAAAAAGAAAGCGCGCCTCGGGGCGCGCTTCGGTGGGCCCTAGAAACAGTCCCTAGGAGGGGACCTGCTCTGATTCCATGTGAAAAGGAGAAAGCGAATGAATGAACTATGAATGAAGTGAGTACATATGGGAAACCCTAAGTGGGTTGTACCCCCTATGGGATACCCCACTATAGCCTACACAACAGCATAAGCTATAAATATGTTCTGACAGTGTGAAAAGCGAACTCAGGTACTGACGTCTTCCTCTTGTGCTTTTCTTCTTGCAGGTCCATGTCTTGCTGCTCGGCGTGAATCTCAGCGCAGAGTGCTGCTTCGGAGATTTTTCCGTGGGCTCGGAGAATGGCTCGGGTGGAGCGCCATTGAGGACCAAGACCGGCGATGATGACTGTGACGAAGGCGTCTTCGGATATTGTCCCTCCGCATCGAAGAAGCTTGTCGCGCAGCTCGCGACAGCGGCTGATATACGCCATCCCCTTTTCGCTCGGTTTCATTTCCACTGTTGTCAGTTCTGCCATTAACCGACTCTGATTGACGCTGTCCGTTGCTTGATACAGGTTCTTCAAGTGGTTGTACGCGAGCTCGGCGGAGTTCCCGTATCCCCGGTAAGACCGAATGTTCTGCTGCTGGTTTGGAGTTATGTTCCTCAGTAGGATCGTATATGCCATCATTGACTGATATGTGTACTGCTGCTTGTCGTATTGCGTCCCGTGTGTTGGGTATGGCAGAGACCCGTCGAAGAAGCCAAGAATCTGCGCGCCTTCCATCATTAGCTCGAATTCGAACGACCAGGTAAAAAAATATTTTCCGTCGAACGGTCTTGATGTCTGCAGTTTTAAGACGTGCTCAAACTGCGACTGAACTTGAAGTGCATCCAATGTCTTCTCTTGCTCAAGTGAAGGCTGCTGGCGCGGCATGAAACTGACGGAACCGCGCTGGAGTTCGTACGGGGCGAAGGTAGGTTGCTGTTGCTGATTTCCTCGCGCGTAGGATGAACCGTCGAGGCTCATCGGTGTCACATCGTTGTTGTTGTTGTTGTTGTTGTTGTTGTTGTTGTTGTTGTTGTTGTTGTTGTTGTTGTTGTTGTTGTTGTTGTTGTTGTTGTTGTTGTTGTTGTTGTTGTTGTTGTTTGATTGCGCAGGTGCCCCTTGTTGGTGTTGTTCGTAGAAGGACATGAAGGGGAAGAATTTCTCCATCATGCTTGGGTCGAAGCCCGCGGCTTGATTTGCGGGAGTTTCGGTGGACCCAGCTGCTGGTCTTGTTGCCGTGCCCTCCTCTTTCTGTAGGCCAGAGGCAGGAGGTGGAGTAGGAGTAGTGCCGGGAGAACCGTTAGAGGAACTCCTCTCCTTCTGTGTTGCCATGCCTTCTGATGTTGTAGGTGTCTTGATAGTAGTTGAGTTTGCCCTGATAGCTCTCATACCATGTTGGGCTGAGAAAAGCCCTTAGGATCTTTGCAAGGCTAAACTCTGGGTAGGACTAGTTGTAAATGCGGAAGCGTATAATGATAAGTCTTGAACCACCTTGCGCTGGTATGTGAGGGCAAAAGTAGATTGATTAATCAAAGAGATACAAGACTTTTATAAGAGTACAAGGAATATGAAAGGATGCAACTAATAACTGTTTTACTGTTGCTGTTGTGGTTCGATACAGCGACGACTCGGGCAACTGCTCAATAGCGAGTCAGTTGTTTGTCATTGCTGTCGCGCTATACTTGTCAGGTCAAAGGTCGCTGACCTTTGACTTTCGCGTAACCTCCAGCGGTTTCTTCACTTCTCAACCTCCAAGTGTTGACTCGCCGATGCTTCGCTGTGCTTCGCCTCGTTTACGACTTTAGTGTTTCGACACACACAACAGAAGCGTTCAAATTACTTGTTTCCAACAGTCAGGACACAGACGAATAACAATATCCTACAAACGAGTGTTTGCGTGTGTGAATCCGTTTCAAGTTAGGATAGTGCTTTTCTTCCTTTCTTTCTTCGTTTTTTTTTTTTTTTCTGAAAAAATAGCAGAGAATAGTTTAGTGCATGCTGGCTGTGCTTGTCATGTCTTATGTCTGTTTTATCCCATAGCCATCCATGCAAATGTCACATGATAAATGACGGGTCATTCATTGAAGGAGCGGAACACACTTGCTCACCCTCTCGTCATATACCGTTCCTGGCTCATCCCTGGCAGATTCGTTCCATAGCGCTCCCCAGAAGCAATTGTAAGGCATACTTTCTGCGCGCACGTGAGCTCAGGCGCTCCGCGCGCACTTGAGCTCAGGAGGTCAGAGCGCACGCGAGCTCAGGGCGCAAGAGAGCTCGGCGCGCACGAGAGTCCAGCGCGCGGAATGGGGGGAAAGCAGCGTGGCGGCAAGGGGACGGCGGGCGGAGGGGAAACAGCTGCCGCGGGGATGACGCGGGAGAAGACGCGGATGGCGGACGGTGCCGGGGAGAAGGGGCGCGCGGGGGGAGGCGCAGGGGATAAGGGTCGTGGGCGTGAAGGAGAGCGGGGTACGGTGCGGGCGGAGGCGGCACAGGCGGCGGAGGTGGCGGAGGTGGCGGTGTCGCTGGGGATGACGGGGCACGCGGGGCACCTCGAGATCATCGCCGTGGACCGCCACAGCTTCCCCCTCCACCCCCGCCTCGCCCCCCAAACCTTCGTACTCGTGAGCGCCTCCCCCTTCTGCGCCCCCTTCCGCGGGGCACCTCGAGATCATCGCCGTGGACCGCCACAGCTTCCCCCTCCACCCCCGCCTCGCCCCCCAAACCTTCGTACTCGTGAGCGCCTCCCCCTTCTGCGCCCCCTTCCGCGGGGCACCTCGAGATCATCGCCGTGGACCGCCACAGCTTCCCCCTCCACCCCCGCCTCGCCCCCCAAACCTTCGTACTCGTGAGCGCCTCCCCCTTCTGCGCCCCCTTCCGCGGGGCACCTCGAGATCATCGCCGTGGACCGCCACAGCTTCCCCCTCCACCCCCGCCTCGCCCCCCAAACCTTCGTACTCGTGAGCGCCTCCCCCTTCTGCGCCCCCTTCCGCGGGGCACCTCGAGATCATCGCCGTGGACCGCCACAGCTTCCCCCTCCACCCCCGCCTCGCCCCCCAAACCTTCGTACTCGTGAGCGCCTCCCCCTTCTGCGCCCCCTTCCGCGGGGCACCTCGAGATCATCGCCGTGGACCGCCACAGCTTCCCCCTCCACCCCCGCCTCGCCCCCCAAACCTTCGTACTCGTGAGCGCCTCCCCCTTCTGCGCCCCCTTCCGCGGGGCACCTCGAGATCATCGCCGTGGACCGCCACAGCTTCCCCCTCCACCCCCGCCTCGCCCCCCAAACCTTCGTACTCGTGAGCGCCTCCCCCTTCTGCGCCCCCTTCCGCGGGGCACCTCGAGATCATCGCCGTGGACCGCCACAGCTTCCCCCTCCACCCCCGCCTCGCCCCCCAAACCTTCGTACTCGTGAGCGCCTCCCCCTGCATCGTCCCCATGGCACGTAAGTCCAACCCCACCTGCCGCCTCCCTTCCATCCTCTCCCTCATCACCGCACCTGTTCTCCCCCACAAGGCACATCTCTCGATCTCACCCGGCCCCCTCAATACCCCCATTTCCCCCCTCCTCTTCCCCCTCCGCCTTTCCTCCCCCCCCAGCTGTTCTTCCCCCCGGGCACATATCTCGATCTCACCCGTCCGCCCCCCTCCGCCCTAGAGCTCGTTCGGGGAACCACTGCCGGTGCCTTGCACCCCCTCGCCCTCTCCTCCCACCCGGCCCCCCACGCTGCTGCTGGGGGTGCAGCGGAGGTGCAGCAGGGGGAGGGGCAGCAGGCGGGTGGAGGGAGAGGAGAGTCGGAGGAAGCACTAGCAGCACTGTTTGCGTATTTGGAGGGAGGGGCGGAAGGGGGTGAAGGAGGGGATGGGGGAGGGGGAGGGGCAGCAGATGCGAGGGGTGTTGGGGATGCGTCGCTGCTGCTGAGTGTGCCTCCTGGGTTCACTGAGGGCGGGCGATTTGAGGCCAGGGAGGAGGTGCGAGCTCTCACCCTCTTTCTTGGGTGGGTCATCATGGATGGGTGGGTGATGACATGAGAGGTCTGTTGGGGCGCGCATGTGGTTTTCAGGGCATGCCAAGGAGAGATCCTGGGATTTACAAACCGATGAAGCGTAACAGCAATAGCGATATGCCCGCTGTGTTGATGTGTTGTTTGAGAAGTCTCTGGAGCTCCCTGCCTCTGTTGTTTGATTGCTTGCCTCCATCCCACCCACCCCCAGAGGGACATGCTGCCGCTCTCTCTGCTGCGCGCGCTGGCAACCCCCCCGAAGGAGGTCTCAGAGGTGCCTCCTGAGGAGGCACAGGATGAGGGCTCTCTCCAACCCACCCACCCCACCCAACCCCATCCCACCCCCAGAGGGACATGCTGCCGCTCTCTCTGCTGCGCGCGCTGGCCACCCCCCCAAAGGAGGTCTCAGAGGTGCCTCCAGAGGAGGCGCAGGTTGCGGGCACTGGAGGGGCAGCAGGGAGCGGCGCTGCTGGTGTGGAGGGGGGAGAAGGGGGAGAGGGAGAGGCGGAAGGGGAGGCCGGGGGTGGGCAGGGGGGAGGAGAGGGGGAGAGCGGGAAGCTTGGGTTTGCAGATGTGTTTCAGACAGCGTGGGGTGCTGGGGGGGAGGAAGAGGAGGGAGAGGAGGAGGAAGACGAGGAGGAGGGAGAGGATGAGGAGGGAGAGGAAGAAGGGGAAGGGGAGGAAGGGAAGGAGGTGGGAGGAGGAATGGGCTCGGCAGAGATGGTTGCCTCTGCAGGTGCGTGGTAGCGACAGGGCACATGGGGCACACACATTCATCCACACAGGGGCCGCTTTGCGCTGAACTCCCATGAACGCGTTCAAGTCTTAGTTGCAGCAATGGCTAGTTGTGATGTGAGGCATCTCAAAACTCCGATGTGGTGTGGTGTGATGTGGTGTGGTGTGCCATGCATTCAAGCCTTTCGCGGCTGACAAAGGCGCGTCATTTGTCGTGTGCAGCATGCAGCCATCCACTACCGCTCCATCTGATGCCATCCACTACCGCTCCATCTGATGCCATCCATTACCGCTATATCTGATGCCATCCATTACCGCTATATCTGATGCCATCCATTACCGCTATATCTGATGCCATCCATTACCGCTATATCTGATGCCATCCATTACCGCTATATCTGATGCCATCCATTACCGCTATATCTGATGCCATCCATTACCGCTATATCTGATGCCATCCATTACCGCTATATCTGATGCCATCCATTACCGCTATATCTGATGCCATCCATTACCGCTATATCTGATGCCATCCATTACCGCTATATCTGATGCCATCCATTACCGCTATATCTGATGCCATCCATTACCGCTATATCTGATGCCATCCATTACTGCTATATCTGATGCCATCCATTACCGCTATATCTGATGCCATCCATTACCGCTATATCTGATGCCATCCATTACCGCTATATCTGATGCCATCCATTACCGCTATATCTGATGCCATCCATTACCGCTATATCTGATGCCATCCCGATTCCTCTCCCCGCTTCCCCGTTCTTCCCTCCCTCCCACCCACCACCCACAGCCACCGCACGGCCGTCTCATCAGGGTAAACCCAGCGTGAGGAAGAGCGGGGCGGCAGCGGCAGTGGATGCACTGCTGGAGTGCCCTCTCCCACTGCCCCATTGCGCCCTTCCCCCTCCCCACCCCTCTTAGCCACGGCACGGTCGACTCCTCAGGGCAAGCAGCGAGAGAGGAAGAGCGGGGCGGCGGCAGCAGTGGATGCGCTGCTGGGGGCGGGCAGAGGGGCGTTTGGCAGCCTCGAGTGGTGGACTGCTGGCTCTGGCCTGGGGCTGCTGGGTGCTGCGCCTTCGGCTTCCCGTCCTGCTGCCTCCAAAGAGGTAATTCTGGAGTCGAGTTGGGCATGGGTGCTGCTGCAAGAAGCACTGCTGGAAGTTGGTGGAGGGTGGTCGTTTGGCCGACCTGACCTGAACCACATGTCGTTTGGCCGACCTGAACCACATGTCGTTTTCAAGTGGACTTCAACGGCAAGTGCTGCTGGGAGTTGATGGACGGGTGAACAGCAGCCTCGAGTGGTGCATGGCTCATTACACTATATGTTTCCTCTTTTACTGTGATTCCTCACGTGTCTCATGGCCGATGCTCCATGCCCCATGCCCCTCACCCCATGCTGCACTGACCTTGCACGTGGGAAGTGACAGACGGATCGTGAATGCGTCACATCTCCTGTTCTTCACCATCTTGTATTTCTCTAGTCGACTTAAGAATCGGCTCACTGCACCCGGTTTATTTGTTGAAAGAACACATTTTTGACCCGAAAGTACCTTCTTCTCTCCGTCACCCTCGTACCTTGTACCCCTCAGGGCCATGCATGGGCATGGGCAGTGACGGATGGCATACCGGATCTGGACCGAGAGTTCGCCACCATCCAGCCCGACATGGCCATGACCTTCCCCTTCCACCTCGACACCTTCCAGAAAGAGGTGGGATATAGTGAGCAGTGAGCAGCATCTAGGTGCCGTGAGTGACTTGTAGATTAGCCTTCATTAGACTTCCACCATCCAGCCCCCCCATGGCCATGACCTTCCCCTTCCACTTCGACACCTTTCAGAAGGAGGTGCGGCATAACTAACAACATGTAGGTAGGTGCCATGGCATAGGGAGCACACCATGTAGGTGCCATGACCTGTAGACTGTAGTATAGCTCTCATCAGACCAACACCATCCAGCCCCACATGGCCATGACCACTTTCTGTCTCCTCCTCTCTTTTCGTGCTCCGTGCCTCTTGTGCCCACCCATGCACCACCCATGCACCGCCCATACCCCGCCCATGCACCACCCATGCACCACCCATGCACCACCCATGCACCACCCATGCACCACCCATGCACCACCCATGCACCACCCTTGCACCACCCTTGCACCGCCCATGCACCGCCCATGCACCGCCCATGCACCGCCCATGCACCGCCCATGCACCACCCATGCACCGCCCATGCACCGCCCATGCACCGCCCATGCACCGCCCATGCACCGCCCATGCACCGCCCATGCACCGCCCATGCACCACCCATGCACCGCCCATGCACCGCCCATGCACCGCCCATGCACCGCCCATGCACCGCCCATGCACCACCCATGCACCGCCCATGCACCGCCCATGCACCGCCCATGCACCGCCCATGCACCGCCCATGCACCGCCCATGCACCGCCCATGCACCGCCCATGCACCGCCCATGCACCGCCCATGCACCGCCCATGCCCATGCACCGCCCATGCACCGCCCATGCACCGCCCATGCACCGCCCATGCACCGCCCATGCACCGCCCATGCACCGCCCATGCACCGCCCATGCACCGCCCATGCACCGCCCATGCCCATGCACCGCCCATGCACCGCCCATGCACCGCCCATGCACCGCCCATGCACCGCCCATGCACCGCCCATGCACCGCCCATGCACCGCCCATGCACCGCCCATGCCCATGCACCGCCCATGCACCGCCCATGCACCGCCCATGCACCGCCCATGCACCGCCCATGCACCGCCCATGCACCGCCCATGCACCGCCCATGCTCCGCCCATGCACCGCCCATGCACCGCCCATGCACCGCCCATGCACCGCCCATGCTCCGCCCATGCACCGCCCATGCACCGCCCATGCACCGCCCATGCACCGCCCATGCACCGCCCATGCAAAACCCATGCAAAACCCATGCACCACCCATGCACCACCCATGCACCACCCATGCACCACCCATGCACCGCCCATGCACCGCCCATGCACCGTCCATGCACCGCCCATGCTCCGCCCATGCTCCACCCATGCACCGCCCATGCACCGCCCATGCACCGCCCATGCACCGCCCATACCCCGGCAGGCCATAATCCATTTGGAGCGCCACGAGTCGGTCTTCGTGGCGGCGCACACCTCAGCGGGCAAGACAGTTGTGGCCGAATACGCCTTCGCCCTCGCTGCCAAGGTGCGTGCCTTGCTGCTCCTGCTTTGCTGCACAGCACAGCTTGCTGCCAAGGTGCTTGCTTGGTGACTTGTGAGTCGACTCTAAGGCGCACACATCAGCGGGCAACACAGTCCTGGCAGAATACACCGTTGCCCTCGCTGCCAAGGTGCGTGCCTTGCTGCACTGCACCTGCTTGGCGACTTGTTGAGTCGACTCAAGGTCTCGCGGCGAAAGCCTTTTGGAGCCAGGATTCGTGCCTAAACACACCGTGTGCCGTTTTCCTTGCACGTTGCATCGTCTCTCGTGCCCGCTTCCTTGAAAGCCATCAGCATCCAGAAGCTTGTTACAATCACAAGCCATCAGCATCCAGAAGCTTGTTACAATCACAAGTTTTGAGACATGTCAGAACTGTTGAGAGACGTCTCAATCCTTGAAAGCCAATTGCATCCACAAGCTGGTTACAATCGTAAAGAGCTTTCCCTTCCTGCCTAACCTGCCCTGCCCTTGTTTTCTCCCTCTCAATCGCCCTCCCTGCGTTCCTCCACCCTCCCTACTGTTGTCTCACCCACCAACAGCACTGCACGCGGGCAGTGTACACGTCGCCCATAAAGGCCATCAGCAATCAGAAGTTCCGCGACTTCAGCAAGCGGTTCGACGTGGGTCTGCTGACGGGCGACCTCAGTGTGCGCCCCGAGGCGGCGTGCCTCATCATGACCACCGAGATCCTGCGCTCCATGCTGTATCGCGCTGCTGACATCATCAAAGACATTGAATGGGTGGGTGCTGTGCTGTGATGTGCTTGTGCATCATGTCCATCGACGTCGGAGTCGGCTTTGAGAATCATCGAGAGTGTTCTCCTCAACGCCCTTACCCACCACTTGTTTCTCACGCACAAGTGTTCAAGTGCTGTTTCACGACAAAGACCCATGCAGCCCTTATGTTGGTTTCCTCGTGCCTCAACCGCTCTTAACCGCTCTCAACACATGCAGGTGGTGTTTGACGAGGTGCACTATGTGAATGACATGGAGCGGGGTGTGGTGTGGGAGGAGGTGATCATCATGCTGCCGCCCCACGTGGGCCTCATCATGCCCTCCGCCACTGTCAGTTGCCCTCCCGTGCACCCAACCCTGCCTGCACCATTCATCGTGCATCATGCACAGCACCATACCTCATCATCATGCCGCCGCCCCACATGGTGCTTGTCACGCTCATCTATCTCTCTGCCACTGTGAGTTGGCCTTTGCATGTAGTTCGTGCACCATGCATCATGCAGCATGCACCACACTCCATTCACCATGCAGCATGCACCACACTCCGTTCACCATGCAGCATGCACCACACGTACATGACACAAATACATGCACCGTGCATCATACGGCATGTTGTGGGAACAGAGCAGTCATGCTCGTGGTCACAGTAGTGGGGCTCCCTTTCCCCTTCGCCCCTCGCCCACAGGTACCCAACACCACGGAGTTTGCGGATTGGATTGGCAGAACCAAGAGGAAGAAGATTTTCGCCACAGGGTGGGTGGCAATCAGGGTGGGTGGCAATCAGGGTGGGTGGCAATCAGGGTGGGTGGCATGGGATGGGTTTGCTGGGTGGGTCCCCTGCCTGCCTAAAGCACTCTCCTCACTTGTCGTCTGTGCTCTTCCAAGCCACATGCCATATTCCTTGTATCCACCCTCCCTCTCTGTCAATTCAACATTCATCTTCCATACCCCATACCAGTCCTAATTGAACCACGTTCCTTCCTTCCCCCTCGCCTCCTTCATCCTCCTCTCCCTACCCCTCTCCGCCCCCTCCTTTCCCCCCTGCCCCCTTCCCCCGCACCACACGGCTCCCAGTGGCCTTGGAGTACTGCAGCTACTACGCAGGATGACTGCACTGTATTGTCCCACCCCTTTCAATCCCTTTGCACCTTCAACAACTCCCATCAAAACCCCCCTTCGCCCTCCCCTTCCCCCCAGCACCACGCGGCGTCCAGTGCCCTTGGAGCACAACATCTACTACGGCGGGCGCCTGCACCGCATCTTTGCACCTTACTGACTCCTTCCTTTGCCTCCCCTCCTCCACTCCCCAGCACCACGCGGCGGCCAGTGCCATTAGAGCACAACATATACTACAGCGGTCGCCTGCACCGCATCTTTGACCGCGGGGACATCGACAGTGCCGCTCTGCGCGCCGTGCACGCCGCGCACAAGGCCAAGCACGCCCCCCCTGCGCAGCAGGCTGGGGGAGCGGGGCGAGGGGGTGCAGGGCGGGGAGGAGGAGGAGGCGGGCAGGGGGGGCAGCAAGGGAGAGGTGGGCAGGCGGGGCGAGGGGGGAGGGGAGGGGGCGGGGGGAGAGGGGGAGGGGGAGGTGGGGGAGGGAGAGGGCGTGGGGCGGGGATGGCGGCGGCGGGGAGGGCGATAGCGGCGGCGATGGGGGGAGGGGGAGGGGATCGGTACCGGCGGTCGATGGCGACTGAGTGGATGCAGTTTGTGAACCTGCTCGGCAAACAGGAGCTGCTTCCTGTACGTTTCACTCACTCGTCCCCATCCCACTCCCAATAGCATAAATGGTTTTGTTTATGGAGCAATTAGGATAATGCCACCCGTCCAACCTCATGCTCAGGTGGTGGTGTATTTCCTTCCACCCCCTCCGACCCCCTCCCACCCCCTCCCAACCCCTCTGTCCCCCTCCACCCTGTGCCGTGCTCAGCTGGTGATGTTCTGCTTCTCCACGTGCCGCTGTGACGAGACACTAACGTAACGCACATGAGCTCCCTCCCGCCCCCTCACACCCCTTCCCACCCCCTCCCACCCCGTCACACCCCCCTCCGTCCCATGTCCAGGTGGTGGTGTTCTGCTTCTCCAAGCGCCGCTGTGACGAGTCAGCGGACAGCCTGACATCAGTGGACCTCACGTCAAAGAGTGACAAGAGCGCCATCGTCATGTTCTGTAACTCCGCCTTCGCTCGCCTTAAAGGCTCCGATAGGCACCTGCCACAGGTGAGATGGGTGCAGTGCGGTTGAGTGGGATAACACGTGCACCTGACGTTTAAGAGCGACAAGAGTGCCCTAATCCAATGTCACGTTCTGCCACTCCGTAGGTATGCTTTCTTTCAGCTTGTTTGTGCATGAGTCACAGGTGAGTGTTGTGACCTCCCTGTGCAAAGCAAACGCTGCTGGGCTGATAGCTGCCAGAAACACTGGCGATGGCGTTATGAGGCGTTGTTGTTATACCATGGTGGCTGTTTTGGCACGTGGATTAGGTTAGGGACCCTGCGTCCAGGTAGGCACCCCATGCCTTGGGTGCACCCCATGCCTTGGGTGCACCTCTTTCCTTGGGTGCACCCCTTTCCTTGGGTGAAAGACTGCTAATCTCGCTCGCACGTAACAATGCCTCTTTCATGCTACCTGATGCACCATTGGACTGACATCATCTGGTACACTCACTCACTCACCCACACCGCTTGACACCCACCTAACATCGCACCGGACATTGCACAGGGCAGCCCAACTCACACCCCACCTCACACCCCACCTCACACCCCTCCACCTGACGCCTGGTTGGCCCCCACTCTACATTGCAGGTGGAGCGCATATCGGAGCTGCTGCGGAGGGGTATTGGGGTGCACCATGCGGGGCTGCTGCCCATCGTGAAGGAGGTCGTTGAGATGCTCTTCTGCTCCGGCCTCATCCGGGTAAGGCTAGTGCATGTGTGCATGTGATGTGCATGCATACACTAGCTAGTTAGCACACATGGTAGGCTGCAGCAGCACAGCACGGTGCAACAGGTGCTGCCCATCGTGAAGGAGGTGGTGGAGATGCTATTCTGCTCCGGCCTCATCCGCGTAAGGCTAGTGCATGTGTGCATGTGCAAAATCTAGGACTGGGTAGCACACATGTGTGTGACGGTCGGCCGGTCCACGTGACAGCATAACGGTGCACCATGCACGGTAGTGGACAGCAGTAGGCCATTGTGAGGCTGCTGCCCATCGTGAAGGAGGTGGTGGAGGAGGAATATTTTCTTCTGCTTCGGACTCATTCGAGTAAGGCTGTGTGCATGGTTCAGGCATGCATGCGCATGCATACACTAGCTAGCTAGCACAACCATGGTAGGCGGCAGCAGCAGCTGCTGCCAATTGTGAAGGAGGTGGTGGAGGGAGATCCTCTCTTCTGCTCCGGGCTCATCCGAGTAAGGCTGGCGTATCAGTTTATCAATCAAGTTGGTCCAGGAGGAGTGCGTTTAAATCCCCACACTAGTGCGTTACACCACCAACCAAGCTTCATGCTGGCTCATTTTCGGAAGTGCCCCCCCCCTGCGCTGTGCCATGCCCCGCTCTGCTTTTCTCTCCTCTCCTCTCTGCCGTGTTGTGCCCGACCTCATGCGTGGGCAGGTGCTCTTCTCCACCGAGACATTCGCCATGGGCGTCAATGCCCCTGCCCGCACTGTGAGTGATCTGTGTTACACAAATCTGTTATGGAGGAGGAAGTGTTTCATTAGCTTGATGGTTGCTTGTCATTTTCCATCCAGAAATCCCAAATTCAGTCTTCTTTGTCGGGGAGGGGGGGGTTATTATCTTCCAACGTTTTGTGATGGTTTGGTTTGAAGTACGTGAGACTGTTCGCCTCCATTCTTTCATAGATTAATCACCTCTGCTCGTGTTTTACTTTACTGGAGGGGTGGTGAGGGATGATATGCACTGGATGCAAATCACCAATCGATATCAACTTTTCTGCCCATGCTGAGAACTGCAGCTAATGGATGGTCAGATGGATGACATGGGATTGGTCAGACGGATGACATGGGATTGGTCAGATGGATGACATGGGATTGGATTTCCCCTGTTTCCCGCCCTCCTCATCTCTTCCTCTCTCCTTTCCCCATTTCTCCCTCACCTTGCACCCTTTCGCTCACTTGGCCCCTCAACACCCCTTCCTTGTGCCCTTCCTTCCATCAACTGGCCTTCCACGCACTCAAGAAGCGCAACCAGGCGTCGGTTCAGTTACGACCCTGGTTCGATCCAGTTCGCGACGAACCAGTTCGAGTTTGGTTTTTGCTCAAGATCTCATGCCCGTCTGTCTCTCATGCTCACTCCCGTCTTTCAATTCTCACCCCCTCGTCCCTTCCATCGCTTGGCCTTCCACTCCACGCACTCAAGAAGCGCATTTGCTCGCACGCTTGTCCGTCTCTCATGCTCGCATACTCACCCTCGTCTCTCGCTCCTCTCTCCTCTCCCTTCTCTCCCCCTCGTCCCTGCCATCAGGTCGCCTTCCATGCACTCAAAAAGCATGACGGGCGTTCCTTCCGCATGCTGCTACCGGGGGAGTACACGCAGATGGCCGGCAGGGCGGGCAGGCGAGGACTTGACAAGGTGAGGGGGGGTTGTGAGGTAAGGCTGTTGATATGATAAGGCAAGGTGAGTGGCTTCAAGTTCAGGCTGCAAACTTCAGAACACAAGGTGAGTTCAGAGATGTAAATCGTCGCTTGCAGCTTCTGCATACCCTTAGTACACGCAGGTGGCAGGGAGGGCGGGCAGGCGCAGAGAGTGGACAAGGTGAGACGGGGATGCTGTGAGGTCAGGTTTCAGTGTTGACAAGCCAAGACATGTGCATGCTGCCGCTGCTGCTGCTGCCACTGCTGCTGCCGAGGTGGGCCCAAGTAAATTCACGGTTCACCGTCGCTTTACTGTTGTGCTTCATCGTCCCCTGCAGTTGTGTATGGTCATCGTCTGCTGCTGCGGGTGCGTGGGGGAAATGTGGGGTGTGTAACGATTTCTCTTCAGTTCTGTTACACCCTGTCCCTGCACCCTCCCTTCCCCTGACCCTCCCAGTTTGACACGGTGATCATCTGCTGCTGGGAGGCCGAGAATGTCCTTTCCACATGAATAAGTGGTTTTTCTTTTGCTGTGCTGCACCCTTCCTTGCACCCTCCTTTTCCTCACCGTCCCCTCTCCGCCCTCACCCTCCGTCAGTTTGGCACGGTGATCATCTGCTGCTGGGAGGGCGAGGCGAGGAGGTGGGCCCACGTGAACTCAATATTGCGTTTCCAACATGCTGCACCCCTTCCCACCCTCTCCGCCCTCACCCACCGTCAGTTTGGCACGGTGATTATCTGCTGCTGGGAGGGCGAGGAGGTGCCAAGCGAGGTGGATCTGAGGCGGGTGCTGACTGGCAAGGCCACGAAGCTGGAGTCGCAGTTCCGCCTCTCCTACGCCATGATCCTCAACCTGCTCCGGGTGGAGGACCTCACTGTGAGTGGGACAAGCAGCACAGCACAAGGATGAGGAGTAAGAGTGTACATCCCCTCATCGCCTCTCCTACGCCATGATCCTCAACCTGCTGCGCGTGGAGGACCTCACTGTGAGTGAACCCAAGCAGTATGTGGGTGAAAGGCGAGGTTGTGGGCGACTGCCCCTCCCTGCCTCTCCTGCACCATGATCCTTAACCTGCTGCCTGTTGAAGACCTCACGGTGAGTAGGGCAAGCAGCTTGAGAGTGAAGAGAGTTAGCAGGACTCCCTCCTCTCCCGACTCTCACCCGCCCCCCTCTGCCTTTTGAGTCGACTCTCAAGCGCAGCTTTGCAGAGGCACACAGAGTGGAGGTGCAATCCTTTCCCACCCTCACCTCTCACCCTCGCCCTCCCTCTGCAATGCCACTCCATCACCATCCCCCGCCACCAGGTGGAGGACATGTTGAAGCGCAGCTTTGCGGAGACACATGCGCAGCGCCTGCTGCCCCAGCAGCAGAAGATGCTGCAGGCGGGCGAGCACGCCCTCGCCCAGCTTGCCAACGCCCAGCCCATCAGGTGCGTGCCCTGTGCCCCATGGCGTGGCACAAGAGGGTCTTAGCGTTTCCTGCTCCCTGTTTACCTCCTCACATTTCCCTCCTCTCATTTCCCTCCTCCTTCTCCTCTGTTTCCGCCTCACTCGCACACAACCCCCCTTTCCCCTCAGCTGCAGTCTGAGCGACCCATCGCTCATGGAGCGCTACTATGACGTGGCAAGTGAGGGTCTCAAACTTACCTTCTCCTTGGTTCCTTATCTCGTTGGTTCCTCCTCCTTTATCTCCCCCCTTCCCTGACACCCCCTTCCCCCCAGCTGCATCCTGGGCGACCCGTCGCTCATCGAGCACTACTATGACGTGGCAAGTGAGGCGCGTGAGCTGGATGCAGCCCTGCATGACGTGGTCATGCGGTCCCGACAGGCCTCTCAGCTGCTGACACCTGGCAGGGTCGTATTGGTGCAGCCGGCCGAGGTGAGTGGGTGGCTGGCTGGCTGTGCTGTGTACATGTGAGAAGAGGGGCACATGGATGGGGGAAGGGGGAGAACGAAAAGGGGGGAGGGAGGAGAGCGGGGGGCGAGCGCATGGGGATGGGGGCGAGGGAAGGGGTTGGGTGGAGCAGCAGCATTGGTGGCATCATGGTTTGTGGAGAACAAAAGCGCATGCACATGCACATGCACATGGACTCTCACAACAACAATGCAGATATGGACATCGTTGTGTGTGTGTTCTCCACACAAGTGCTCATCCCGCTCTTCCTTCCCCCGCCCCCCGCACCATCTCACCTCCCCATCTCCCTTTCACCTCTCCCCTTTCCCCGCTTCCCCTCCTCCTTCCTCCCTCTCCCCCTCCCTCTCACCCTCCCCTTTCCCCCCTTCCCCGCCACGCCCCAGACGGCGTCGCCCCACGTGGCAGCGCTGCTCAAGGGACCATTCGGCCTCACCCCAGTGAAGAACACGGTTGGGCCATGGAGAGTCAACTCCCCTCTCCCTTTCCCCTCCCATCCCCTTTCCCCTCCCCTCCCCTCTCCCCTCCCCTTGCCACGGCCCAGACTGCATCACCCCACGTGGCAGCGCTGCTGAAGGGCCCATTCGGCCCCACGCCAGCTAAGCACTCCTTCCTCGTGCTCTCCCTGCCGCGCTCCTCTGCTGCCCATGCACCGGGGGAGAGCGGGGAGAGCAGCGACGGACGCGGCGAGGGGTCTGGGAGTGGACAGGAGGGCCGAGAGGAGGAAGGGAGGGAGGAGGAGACGAGGGTGGGTCGATCTTTCAACCAGGTCACAGTGCTGGGCACGGGTCCCAACGGGCCTATAGTTGTCAACATGCGGTTACCGCATCGCGGTACTGTAGCGGGCACGTGTTACACGGTGGAGCAGATCCCTGCCGCCCAGCTCGTTGGGGTGTGCCGAGCCAAGGTTGCTCTGGATGTGCCAAGCCTGCTGGAGGAGGTTCGGGTGCCGGCGTATGCTGCAGTGGTGCAGGCGCTGGTTCAGGTTCGGGAGGAATGTGCTCCTGCCGACCCTCCCCTCATCGACCCCATCAAAGGTTCTCCATCCATCCTCTCTTTATCCTCTCGCAATCCTCTCTCTACTAGTGAACCCAGTTGTTGTCCATACCTGCAGGTTCCTTGTTGATTGAATTCTCCCGTTCTCTATTGGCGCTGCTTTTAAGAGTCTCACAAGCAACTCTTCTATTCCCTTCTTGTCTCTTAAAAATCTCAATCTTGTTCTTTTCTTGTTCCCTGCTTTTAAGAATCTCAAGCTTGTTCTTTTCTTGTTCCCTGCTTTTAAGAATCTCAAGCTTGATCTTTTCTTCTGCTCTGACCTCCCACGTCAGACCTCAAGATCACTGACTCAGCAACGGCAGCAATGCACAAGCGCCAGCTGGCGCTGCGGGAGTTGCTGCCTCGCAGCCCGTGCCACGCGTGCCACCGATTGGACGAGCACTACGCTGCTGTCTCCTCCCGCCGCCAGCTGTCGCAGCAGGTATGGTCTCATTGCGCTAGCTGTCAAAGCAATTTAAGTCTGTTTGTACAAGCTGTCTGCCACCGCAAGTGAAGTGAAGTCCATTTGTGACAGCTGTCATAGCAGAAAAAAGTCTTTCTATTCCCAGCTGTCACCACAGATGGAGTCTAATTTTCCCTGGTACAGCCGGGCCGCCTACATACAATGACGAGGAACCAGGCTCTGCAGCAATTGCGTTTGGCCTTCACCTCCTCCCGTCTCTCCTCTTCTCTCGTTTGCTCCTCCTCTCCTGTAATCCTCTTACCTTCTCCTCCTTAATTCGCCTCATCTTCGTTCCTCCCATCCACAGGTGGAGCAGCTCAAGGCAATGACGAGCGACCAGGCACTGCAGCAGCTGCCCCTGGCCTTCACCTCCCCTCTTCATTCCTCTACTCTCTTATCATCTTCTTCCTCTCCTCTCCTCCTCGCCTCACCCCATCCACAGGTGGAGCAGCTCAAGGCAATGACGAGCGACCAGGCACTGCAGCAGCTGCCGGACTTTCACCTGCGGGTGAGTGCAGTGGGTGTGCCGAGGAGCATGCGAGATGGGGGTGGCGTGAGAGTGCAGCGGTTGAATGAAGTGGGGGGTGGGCGTGTGAGTGCAGAGTGTGTGCTGAGTTTCAATTTGAGAACTGATTATCTCTGAGTGCTGCTTTCCAGATCCGCCCAACCCCTCAACCACGCAGAGCAGCCCATAGCTCCTGTTCTACTCTCCAGAATTCTCAACACCACAACACAATCTTCGAGTGGCATGTGAGACGAATAGCGCACTCAGCGGTGCGTTGCCTCTCACGTGAAAGCTCTCCTTCTCTGCACTGCACCTTAATCTGAACCCTAAACCAGATGGAGAGCTTCCAGGTGGAGGTGCTTCAGACCCTGGCCTGGCCTTCGCAGATGCGGACCGCATAGTGCAGCTCAAGGGGCTAACGTGGTGGCAGTCTGCCTCTGCCTCTTAGCCCTAATCTCTCTTCCCCCAAACCCTACCGTAAACCCAGGTGGAGGTGCTTTAGACGCTCGCCTTCATAGACGCGAAGCGCATAGTGCAGCTCAAGGGGCGGGTGGCGTGTGAGATGAACAGCGCTGACGAGCTGCTCGCCACCGAGTGCCTGCTCAACCACCACCTCCTCCTTGCTTCCCCACTCCCTCACTCACACACCCCAAACCTCTTCACCTCTTGATTCCTACACTCAGAACCCTGAACCTCTTCCTTTTAAAGCGCATAACTCAATTTTCTCAAAACCTTAAACCTTTCCCCCCCAGGTGGAGGTGCTGCAGACCCTGGCCTTCATAGACGCGGAGCGCATAGTGCAGCTCAAGGGGCGGGTGGCGTGTGAGATGAACAGCGCTGACGAGCTGCTCGCCACCGAGTGCCTGCTCAACCACCACCTCGCCGCCCTCTCGCCGCCCGCTGCCGTCGCGCTGCTCTCGGCGTTTGTCTTCCAGCAAAAGGACGCGTCGCCGCCCCAGCTCACTGCGGAGCTAGCCCATGCGAGGAACAAGTGAGGAGGGTTAGGAGGGTTTTGGGCGGGGGGGGGGGGGGGGGGGGAGAGGGGAAGATGGGGGATTGAAGGGAAGGATGGGGTGAGGGGAGAGTGGGAGGGACTATGTGTTGTGCTCTGCTCTCGCCGCCTCAGCTCACTTCAGAGCTGGCCCATACGAGGAACAAGTGAGAGAGGGGTGGGGGAGTGTGGATTGTTGGGGATTGGGTGGGGTGAGGGAAGGGAGGGCAGGTAGTGTGTGCTTTCAAGTGCTCCCTTCACGTGCTTGCAGCATGTCTGCTGCGCAGCCAACTCATTGCAGAGCCGGTAAAGTGAGGCTGGTATTAGGGGGGGAGGGGGTGCGTTTTCTGATCGTAGTAAGCTATCTGCGAGGAACAAGTGAGGAGGAGGGGGGATTGGCTGGTATGAGGAGGGGAGAGCGAAGTGTGTGTGTATCTCAGTGTTGAAGCATCTCAAACTCCAACCTGCTGCCCAGGTACGATACAGGACATTGCGTACAGATCTCCTCTCAAATCTGCACTGGTTTTTTTTTTTTTTTTTTTTTTTTTTAAGCATAAGCATCTGCACCCCAATCTCATGCCCTTGCACACTTGTGCTCCTGTAGTATGTCCCAGCTAAGCTTGCACTCTACTCCATGCCCTGCCAATATGAGTGTGCCTCTCCCTGCCTGCCGCATGCCCGCCCTGCAGGCTGCTGGACCTGGCATACTTCCTGGGCGACCTGCAGAGGCGAGTGGGGCTGCCCACATCAGCGGAGGAGTATGCAGCAGCCACGCTCAACTTTGGGCTCATGGAGGTGGTCAATGAGTGGGCTCTGGTGTGTCTCCCGCACTCCCCTCTCTCTTTCGATCTCTCCTTTTAACTGTGGTTTTCGGCTTGCTAGGACCATTCCTCTTCTATTGCTGAAGTTTTTTTTCCCTTTTCTGCCAGATTATATCTTTGCCGCTCGTCCTTTGCAACATTTTTCCCCTTGACCAATGTGCTATATAGCACCTCAAATGTAGCCACGTGGTGTAGCGAGGTGCACTATCAGTCACCCTACCTCCACATACTGTCCCCCTGGGCATGCTCTTGGCTGCCGTCCAACCGTTAGCCAAGGGCACCAACCTGGGCTAATAAGATCCTAATCTCCCTTGATACACTTTCCCATATGCGTTCCCCAGGGCACGCCCTTTGCTGACATCTGTCCACTGACCAACGTGGCCGAGGGAACCATAGTGCGCACCATTCTTCGGCTCGATGAGACATGTCGTGAGTTCCGCAGTGCCGCTAGGCTGCTGGGGAATGCGGAGCTCATGGCGACCATGGAGGCAGGGTCTGCTGCCATCAAGAGAGACATTGTATTTGCTGCCTCACTTTATGTCTAATGAGCTGATGAATATCCATATACCACCTCTATTGAAGGCTAGTGGTCGTACTGGTAACCATGCAAGATGGAAGTAACAGCTCACCAAGAATGGAGTATGAACCTTCAATACCGTATCAGATGCAACATTACAAAATATATTCATGCAGTGTATACATTACACCTAACTCTGCAGTTCGATCCAATCGTCACTCCAGCTTCATGTTGAGGAATGAACTCGCTTCTTTCCTTTTCTTTTCCATCGTTTCCGTTCCTGCAACCACTCAGTAATCGCAGGTCAGCCATACTGCTGCAATGCCGCTCCCAGAGCTCTATCTGTACACAAAAAAGCAATGCGGTTGGACTGATCGAGAAATGGCTCAGCACTTACCACAGCCAAGAAGTAAATGAATGTCACAACAAACATGACAATGAATATATACTGGAACAAGTTAAACCTGCAAAGATTTCAGAAGTAGCACATGGTCAACCCTTTGGCACATGTATGAAGAAAAGCTCTCATGAGTCCTCAAAAACAGGAGATGAATCACGTACACGTATAAGTAGCGTATGCCTTGAAGATTTTCTAGCGTATGACCAAATATCTCCTGCACCGCTGTTTCTTGTGCATATGCAGCAAAGGCTTTTGCACAAAATTGTATTGCACTGCAGCAGGATTACAAAGCGTCAGCTGAGAACGACATATGCAACCACGCGACTGAACGTCTTACCTCGTTGCACAACAAAGTATGAGGGCCACGTTAAATAAGAACGAACTCATGAGGGTAGCATTCCACCTGAAAATTGACACACATAAGTCTCCAAGATACAACGAACATACTAGACATCGAACATGTCATACCTCATGGGATGAATTGAAAGGATCAGAATGTTGAGACCAAGGTACATCTCCCCCGATATAACAGCCAGGAAGAGGTAAAAGCAAAAAATCGAAAATGCTCCTGTTCCAAGCAGGCCTGCAGGTCAAAAGGATATCACATTGAGTGTGCTACGATGATAACGTTGAATACCACGGGCGCTCACCCCACCACCGGTCGAGGGTTATGAAAAAATCGTTCAGGAAAGCCGCTGCAGGCGGCTGTATGAGCATATATAAGATAATATGCACGATCCAAGCAACAGAAATGGCAAGCCTGCAGGGCGAATGAAACGATTAGAATACAAGACGAGAGTCAACACTGTGATCAGCTCAATGAACTTACCCAATGACTCCAAATATCAATTTCCCAATGTAAACAAGTACTGTCATAGCCCAGAACATCTCTGCTTCCTCTCCTTGGGGAAATCTTTCTCGAAGCTCAGCTTCATCCTCTTCCAAATGAAAAAGCGCCTGTTTCAGAAAAACAATCACTTCAAGAGCTTGAGAACTTCTGACAATCCATTCTTACCTGCTGCAACTTCTTTGCATTTCGCCTCCATGCCCAAGTTTTACCGCCACTTCTTTCCTCTTGGTGAAGAGTAACAGCAAGTTCATGTATCTCCTTGGCCTTTTTCCCAATTGCTGTGGCTTCCTGCATCCGCGTTCTGTCACGTTAGGAGAACCAGGAGCATGAATCAAACCCTTGGATTTGCAACTGCCGGTACCTTAATGTATTCCGAACGGGTTATTGTGGCTCTTGGACGCCTTAGAAAGGAAAGAATAGATGAAAGTGGCAAGACGGCTATGCCAACACCACCAAAAATCTGTATTAACACAGACGTCAGTCGATTTGAGCATCTGATGGAGAGGGAGCACCGTCCTATAATACTCACTGAGAATAAGAGAGACCCCAGTATCGTGAATAATGCAATAATGTATTTCGGAAACGAGACCCTCAGTGTCCATGTAGTCTTGGATCCTTGCGGGGAAGCATAAGAAGAACACTGATTTCACAGAAACAACAGATTAGGTCTATTCCAAAAAAAGGAGGGACCTTAAGGTGACAATTTTTCACTCACCGCGCCCAGACCGGTATTATACAAGGAAACACAGGAAGCTTGACTACCAAGCGAACTAAAGTCGTTCGTCATGGGAATAGTCGCAGAGACCAGCCTCTTTACAGGATACTCCACGTAACCAACGAAACCTGAAATGGAATTGTCATGGGATCCTGTCCGACTTGCAGTGAATAAAAAGCGTATTCATTGTCCTGCTTACCATAAAGAATCCCAAAGAGCCCCCCGAACACAAACACGGACAGGAGACACCACAAAATCGCGAGCAATACCCGCTTTCCGGTACCCCTGCATCACGATGAGAGTTCAGTCAGCGATTGTGAGCCTAAATATAGTGAATGACTTCAGGCCTCTACACTTACTTTTCTTCATCGCCCTCGTATAAGAAAATGGAGAAAGGGATGATGACGAAGACCATGACGCATATTGCAATCCAAAGGATGTACCATAGAGTTCTCATGGGCAAAGTCTCGGAGCACTCTCCGCTCACGAAGCCATTAATGCAGCTTTGCCTGTTGGAAACGTCCGCAGGAAGCATGAGAACTGAAAGCTGCGCAAGCGTAAGGCCAATGACCTGCGCAAGGCAAACCATGCCCTCCTATTGAGTATGAACATCAGAGATTCCCCGAAGCAGCTGTACGAAATACGGAGGGACGTTGTGTTTAGGATATTATACTAAAATAGGAACAAGTTCGCCTACCACGACAAGTTTTGGAAAGTACGCTTGGTTTGAGTCATCCGGATGCTGGTAATTAATGAGGAGATAAATACTGACGGCGATGGAAAGCAATGATACAACAATTGCTATAACAAGCAGCGCAATGTTAATGTCCCCCATGGCTTGGGAAACAAGGAAGAACCCGAAAATTCGTTGACAGAATTTCTTCCACAGCGTCTCCTCTCATATGCTGCAGTATAGAAAGCGTGATGAAAGGCATGTCGTTGGGGTGGGCTCCTAGGCAAGTGTGTGAGAGAAGCAGCGTTTCAGTGGATGAATGAGTACGATAAGGCGATTCGTTCGTCTTCGCTGTAAAGCAACTTTTCGATACGAGATAATAACTTCCTAGCCCCAACTAGCCCGGGCCAAATCCCCTCGCTACATTCGTAATCAGAAAAGAGAAACATAGGGGGCATGTGGCTCTGCGATAGTGAAATGGTAACGGGATGGAAATGGGCAAGGTGTAGAGTGTTGTACGCGCTATGCAGGGTGTAGACGAGAAGTGTATCTCTGAAAATATCTGAGAATATTTCCCCGTCAAGCCCGTCGTCGCCGTGTACGTCGGAACATTTTCCCGCGTGAATTCAGTCCAACAAAACTCCGTGTATCCCAACACGAATGATTGAAACCTTGTTATACGTTTCGCCTTCATTCCCGTTTTCGCATCTCGGCTGGCTGGAGACGCCATTCCATTCCTTTCGCAAATCGTAAAAGAAGCGGAACCCACGTTGATGGGGGGTTGTTCAGGTGATCAGGAGGAAGTTGGAGTCGCGTCGCATGTTGATGATCGATGCGTGATCGATCATCAAGCAACAGCTCCCCTCCCCACTCGCCCTAACTTATCAGATTGATAAGCTTGAGATCTCTTGGCCATTGCTTCTGTACCTCACAGCCCGACACTGCTTAGAGACCAGGCATTCCCAAGCACAATCAGATTCGCCGCTAATCCTCTCCGCAGCCAACAGAACTTGATCCTCACTCTACGCACTCGAGACTCATCGTTCCACCCGACCACCCGTTCATCGTCTCCTCCCATCGCCCTACCGCTCTCCGCGGCCACCTCCCACGCTTTCCGCACAGCCACGATGGCCGCGACTCGTCTGCTCCCCTTTCTCCTCCTGCTTCTCGTCTCCCACGCCGTCCTCTCGTCAGCCGCACCTCCTGCTTTTCGTCGGCCAAAAAAAATCGCTCTCACTGTTCAAGCCCACGCGAAGCGCCATCGAGGCGCCGTAACTCCCGCCGCGACCGGCGGGCCCATTAAGTACTGGGGAGGTCCTATCGTCGCAGGCAACCCGACGGTGAACATCTACCATATCTACTACGGCAGCTGGCCGTCGGGGTCCGGGCAGGATTACATCGACAACTTCGTCAAGTCTTTAAGTAGCGACTCGGGCGCGCAGGGCTCGTCGAGCGACCCGACGGTGAAGGGATGGTGGGCGATCACGTCGAAATACTATCAGTCGAGCAACGGGGCGAAGAAAAACGTGAGCTCCATGGTGCAGCTCGCGGGAACGACGTACGACAGCTACTCGTACGGCAAGGCGCTCACCGACAACAACGTGCTCTCGAGTAAGTCCTTTCTCCCTGACCTTGCTTGTGAGCCGCCTCAGAAAGTCGTGCTTTCTGGAAAGGGTTCGTTGTTTGATGCCTGTCACAAAGTGCTTCTCAGGAAATTGAAGGGGGTAGGGGGGCATTCCGTTGGTGTTTGCACAAGTTTTTCCTCTCTGCCGTCTTCCCCGGATTTTTTGTTGCCTTTTGAACGCTATTACTCCGCCGTCTCGCTTCCTACTGTGTGCAATCACCATTTTATGAAAGTGTTAAGCTTCGACTAAACGTTGTTCTTCGTGCAAATCCTGACGTTTCCATCGCAGTCGTGAAAAGCAAGATCGGATCTGGCAAGGCCTTCGCGTACGACCCGCATGGGATTTACGTTCTTATATCGAGCAAGGACGTGACTCTATCGTCGGGCTTCTGCAGCCAATACTGCGGGTGGCACACGGTCGACTATATCGGATCATCCCCATTATACTACGCGTTCGTGGGTCACCACGCCCAGTGCCCCAACGCGTGCGGCGTAAGGAGCACCTCCCCCAATGGCAACCCCGCTCTAGACGCCACCATTTCAACCCTCGCGCACGAAATTACCGAAGCTGCTACGGACCCCGACGCGAAGTCTGGCTGGGCTGACGCGAGTGGGGAGGAGAACGCAGATTTGTGCTCCTGGAGTTACGGAACTACACTCAGCTCAAACGGTTACACTTACAACATGGTTGGGTTAAACGGAATGAAATTCCTGGTGCAGCAGAACTGGGACAGACAGCTGCAGAAATGTGTCAACCAGAATTCCCTTCCAGCCAGCACCACCACACCTTCCCCTCCCCCCCCTTCCCCGGGAACTACGAAGATGAACTGCCAGTGCACGTGTGCCAATGGCAGCTCTCCCATGAACTGCCAGTGCTCGTGCACGCCCGTTGCATGAAGGTCAGATGGCTGACATAAGGTCTTTGGGGGTGCATTCCTGGCGCACGCCACAGATCCTCGTGGCAAAAAGATGCGATACAGTGTGGTGCAAATAATCTATTTGTAGGTGCAATGCGCTGCAGAACGATACACTGTTTTTTGTGACGCGAGGAACTGGGGGGTTTATCAGTGTGTGCCTGTAGATTTGTAGAGGTGGAGTTAGTGAAAGGGGTCCGGGTGGTATCTACAGCTTCCAGCTGCAACAATCTCATTTTGGTATTTGATATTAATAAGTGCCTCAATCAACACTAACGGTGTAGTTTGTAGGAATCAGGCCGAACCTTCCTGCAACAATCTCATTTCTACGTTCGCTTTCCAATCTCCTCAAAAGTCTTGTTCGCACTCGGCTGGTGGGGTGGCTCTTCCTGCGCTCAAACAGATTTCGAGACATCACTCTGAAAACTCCTCCACTCTACCGAATCCGACCGCGGGGGTGCGCATCATGCCATGCCCTTCCACTCCACTCCGCCTCCTGTTCAGCTCCCCTTTCATTTTTTCCATAAGATTCCAGCATCCCAGAATTAGAACCCATTCATCACACAGCCCAACCTTCCTTAGCGCAATCCATGTCTCCCATCGCACCCTCCCCCCACCTATTCCCCCAACCCCTCCCCTTACTCCTTTCTGATTGTACGAGGCGAGGACCTTGTGCTTCCTTGCCCGCCGGGGTCACCTTGTACTTCCCCGCTTCCTGGTACCCACATCACCGCTCATCAAGTAGAAGCGACTCTTCTCCACGCCTGTGCTTGCACGCACGGCCCTCGCTGCCACCGTCACTGCTACACTGCCCTATATGCCAGGAAAATCCAGGAAAACCCTAGAAAACCCAAGAAAATCCAGGAAAACCCAGGAAACCCAAGGAAACCCCATTGAAACCTAGGGAGACCACGGAGATCCCAGGAAACCCAGTTGAGATAAAAATCAGAAGGTATGCAGGTTGCAGAGTGTGCAGGCTGAAGGTATGCATGTTGCGTGTGCAGGTTGCTGAGTGTGCAGGTTGCAGAGTGTGCAGGCTGAAGGCATGCATGTTGCGCGTGCAGGTTGCTGAGTGTGCAGGTTGCAGAGTGTGCAGGCTGAAGGTATGCATGTTGCAGATTGTGCAGGTTGCTGAGTGTGCAGATTGCAGAGTGTGCAAGCTGAAGGCATGCCGATTGCAGAGTGTGCAGGCTGAAGAGTCTGCGGGCAGGCATACCTTGGAAGGCAAAAAGGAGCAGGAAGAAGGCACGCGAGGAGTTAAGCATGGACAGTACGAGCCCGTGTGCTGGTGGTCGTAACACCATGGAGCGAGGGGGTGGAATAAGGGAGATAGGCCACTATGAGCAACCACTAGGTATTATGAGGCACCCATACTTATTAAGAGGACTATTAAGAGGCACCCATAGTTATTAAGAGGCCCCCATAGTTATTAATAGCTTTTCTAGCCAGAGACTGCTACAACAGCGGAAAGAGCGGAGCATGCGCAATGTGAAATGGGCTGCACAGGGCCTGCATACACTTGCTGCACACGCTCACTCCATTCACTCTTCATGAGACGAGAAGAGAGACAGCAGTGCACGCAAACAGGGCGAAGGGAGAAGAAAGAGTGGTTGAGCGGGGGGAGGGGGGAGGAGAGCAGGGAAGCAACACACATATGCCAAAGCAGGGAGAGCAGGCACCTCGTGCAGCTGCCTCATGTCCTTTCTTTCTATCTCCGGTCAGGGCTGTTGGGTGTGCTTTCCAAGCACTTGGAAAACTTATTTGGTTGTTTATGTATAGTATATTTGTGCTGTTGAAAGAACCGACAACCCCCCCCCCCCCTTGCCTCATCTATCCAATCTCTTCTCTCCCTCTTGCCCCAATCATTGTCCTTCGTTCCAAGCCCCATTCCCCCATCCTCCCTGCTTCTGCGCTCTGTCCCTTACACTCTTCACACCTTACCGCCACCACCCCCCCAGTGCATGAGAAGTTGATTCTTCTACCACTACTTTCCACATGCATGCTAGCCCTCCACCGCCCGAACCAGCGCCGCGGCTCTCCACCGTTGCTCTCTTCAGCATGTTGCTCTCTTCAGCATGTTGCTCGCTTCAGCATGTTGCTCTCTTCAGCATGTTGCTCGCTTCAGCATGTTGCTCTCTTCAGCATGTTGCTCGCTTCAGCATGTTGCTCTCTTCAGCATGTTGCTCGCTTCAGCATGTTGCTCTCTTCAGCATGTTGCTCGCTTCAGCATGTTGCTCTCTTCAGCATGTTGCTCGCTTCAGCATGTTGCTCTCTTCAGCATGTTGCTCGCTTCAGCATGTTGCTCTCTTCAGCATGTTGCTCGCTTCAGCATGTTGCTCGCTTCAGCATGTTGCACGCTTCAGCATGTTGCTTGCTTCAGCATGTTGCTCTCTTCAGCATGTTGCTCTCTTCAGCATGTTGCTCGCTTCAGCATGTTGCTCGCTTCAGCATGTTGCTCTCTTCAGCATGTTGCTCGCTTCAGCATGTTGCTCTCTTCAGCATGTTGCTCGCTTCAGCATGTTGCTCTCTTCAGCATGTTGCTCGCTTCAGCATGTTGCTCGCTTCAGCATGTTGCACGCTTCAGCATGTTGCTCGCTTCAGCATGTTGCTCTCTTCAGCATGTTGCTCTCTTCAGCATGTTGCTCGCTTCAGCATGTTGCTCTCTTCAGCATGTTGCTCGCTTCAGCATGTTGCTCGCTTCAGCATGTTGCTCGCTTCAGCATGTTGCACGCTTCAGCATGTTGCTCGCTTCAGCATGTTGCTCTCTTCAGCATGTTGCTCTCTTCAGCATGTTGCTCGCTTCAGCATGTTGCTCTCTTCAGCATGTTGCTCTCTTCAGCATGTGCTCGCTTCAGCATGTTGCTCGCTTCAGCATGTTGCTCTCTTCAGCATGTTGCTCTCTTCAGCATGTTGCTCTCTTCAGCATGTTGCTCGCTTCAGCATGTTGCTCTCTTCAGCATGTTGCTCGCTTCAGCATGTTGCTCTCTTCAGCATGTTGCTCGCTTCAGCATGTTGCTCTCTTCAGCATGTTGCTCGCTTCAGCATGTTGCTCTCTTCAGCATGTTGCTCTCTTCAGCATGTTCCTCCTTTCAGCATGTTGCTCGCTTCAGCGTGTTGCTCTCTTCAGCATGTTGCTCGCTTCAGCATGTTGCTCTCTTCAGCATGTTGCTCGCTTCAGCATGTTGCTCTCTTCAGCATGTTGCTCGCTTCAGCATGTTGCTCTCTTCAGCATGTTGCTCTCTTCAGCATGTTGCTCGCTTCAGCATGTTGCTCTCTTCAGCATGTTGCTCGCTTCAACATGTTGCTCTCTTCAGCATGTTGCTCTCTTCAGCATGTTGCTCGCTTCAGCATGTTGCTCTCTTCAGCATGTTGCTCTCTTCAGCATGTTGCTCGCTTCAGCATGTTGCTCTCTTCACTGATGCTCCGCGACTGCCTTGAGCTCGCCTACACAGCGCTGCTCGCACTCTTCCTCCTACTCTCCCCCTCTCCCTACTGCTCCTCCCCCTCCTCCGCTTCCACCTCATCCGTCTCCTCCGCTGCTGCCCCACCCACATTGACACCATCGACCCATCAACACCATCACCTCAAACAACGCCTCCTGACCCTGCTCCACGCCGCATGGGCAAGCAAACAGCCATATGTTGCGCCGCTGCTGCTGCAGGCTGCAGCAGCCCTGCACTATGCGGAGATGGCTTTGCCTCCGCCTGCTCGCTTCCCGTACCTGTACCAGGCGCCCATTGTGACACTGGCGTTTGTATGCCTGGTGCCTGTGATTGTTTTTAGGAACCTATGGCATTGGGGCGCGCCCAAGGATGGGTTTCCGTTCGAGGAGGGTGAGAGGGATGGGGGCAGGAGTAAGGGGACTAAAAGGGGGTAAGGGTGGTAAGAAGAAGCACGAGAAGGCAAGTCACCTGCGTGGGTTTTATTGGCACTGAGCATCATGCGTGCGTGTGTGTGTGTGTGTGTGTGTGTGTGTGTGTATGTGTGTGTGTGTGTATGTGTGTGTGTGTGTGTATGTATGTGTGTGTGTGTGTGTGCGTATGTGCGTGCGTGCGTGCGTGCGTGTGTGTGTGCGTGTATGCGTGTGTGTGTGTGTGTGCATGTGTATATGTGTGTATGTATGTGTGTGTGTGTATACGTGCGTGTGTGTGTGTGCGTGTGTGTGTATGTGTGTGTGTGGTTTCTTGATTGATGTCAATGACGATGCTCAGCAGCACATGCTGCTGCTGAGATGAGAGTAAGGGCAAGATGAGAGTTGGGATAAGGGTGGTGTGGCAGCATGTGAAAGCAACATTCCCAGATCTTGTTGAATAACAAACCGGCACTCAGGACGGGCTGGGTTAGGTAATTGTATGCAGCGACCTTGATGTTCAGAAGTCTTTAGTGTTTTGAACGGAGATTTGGTAAAAATGTTGACCAGATTGGGCCTGCACAAGCTCCTTGGGCCTAATCCAGCCCAACTCTACCTCCTGCATACAAAGTCTTTCATACACTACTCAAGCGTTGTGTGTTGCTAGCAAGGCATGCTCTGCCTTGCATGCATAACAGCACTGCTCTGCTCCAATGTGGCCGTGCTGAGACACGATAGAGTACGGAGGTACATAAAATCATAAGGCAATAGCATACATACATAAAACACAACCCAACCCAACCCAACCCAAACACCAGTACGTAAACACAAACCATCAAATCACATCAAAAAAAGAAGGCACACTATGAGCAAACCGTGCTGCACCTCCCTGACCTCACCTATTGCTCCCTCCCTCCCCTACTTCTGTTCAGTTCACTTGCACATATCGCGACACTTCTATTCCTTCCTGTCGCACTTGCGACTGTCACGATGGTTGACGTCATAGCACTTGTTTAGCTGCTTGTCGCACTTGTCAACGCACTCCTCATGGCACTCGTTGAACGCATCAATCGCATCCCACTCACACTGGCCCCGCTTCTCCGCGCATTTCTGCTTGTGCCACCAGTTTCGCACACGGTTGATGCACTGCGTCTCCTTGTCTTGACACCGATACATCTTCGACTCGTATTTGCCCGTGCATGTCTTGGACCTGTGAAGCACCCTCCGTGTGGCTGTAGCGGGGGATGCAACTCTCGCGAATGGGGCTTGTGGATCTAAAAAATGTGGGCCCTAAAATTGGCAACTTATAGCCATAATCACCATGCATATGGCGAGATTATGGTCTGGAATTGTCAGGCTGTACACAGACTGCTTTCTAGACGTTTGGGGCCCAAAAATTGCCCACCTGTGTATTAGGCCGTTTCTTCCTACCTTAGAATAGCTGCTTCATGCCTGCATACGGTGTCGATATGCCTGATAAATGGACTGCCGTTTATATGGTTTCATTTGTCGTCCAACAAGAACCCGTACATTGGCTGTACACATATTGTTATATTCATCCCTGCTGTTATGCATGTCAGCCATAAATCACATTAATCTGCTATGTAATTGTTAGCCTAAAATGGATATTCGTTAGTGATTTACGTAACAACATTAAATTTATGGGAAACTTATATTCAATACATTCAATTCGTTTCTTAGCCATACACCATTGTAAACTAATGGGAACCTTATATTCCAATTAGCAATTACATTGCACCTAGGGTTAAACCTCTGACTTCTCATCAGCCTATGCCTACTGCTGCGTATACGCCCTGCACTACAGCCGGGTTGACACACTACACAAACCCATCAAATGCAGCCTCATATCCTTCAATGCGGATCTTAACTACTCCACTGCCCATGACAAACCCTTGGCGGATGCGCCCTACTTGGTGGACATGCCGATGTAGATGATGGGTTGGGGGGGGAGAGGGGGGTGGGGGGTTAGATGGGGTGTCTTGATGGGGTGTCTTTCTGGGGTGTCTAGTGTCAAAACATATATTTGTATGTTCTTAGGTACTGCTGGAGGTGCTGCTGGTGCTGGATCTGTTGGTGTTGGATGTACTGCTGGAGGTGCTGGAGCTGCTGGTGCTGGAGGTACTGTTGGAGGTGCTGCATGTGCTGGAGCTGTTGGTGCTGGAGGTGCTGGAGGTGTTGCTAGTGCTGGAGGTACTACTGGAGCTGCTGGTGCTGGAGGTACTACTGGTGCCGGAGGCGCTGGAGCTGGAGGTACTGGAGGTCCTGGAGGGGCTGGAGCTGCTGGTCCTGGAGGTGCTTGTATTAGAGGTGCTGGAGCTGTCGGAGCTGGTGGTGCCGCTGGTGCTGGAGGTGTTGGAGGTGCTCGTACTAGAGGTGCTGGAGCTGCCGGAGCTGGTGGTGATGCTGGTGCAGGAGGTGCAAGAGGTGCTGCTGGTTCTGGAGGCGTTGGAGCTGTTAGCATTGGAGGTACTGGAGGTGCTGGAGCTGCTGGTCTTGGAGGTGCTCGTACTAGAGGTGCTGGAGCTGCCGGAGCTGGTGGTGCTGCTGGTGCTGGAGGTGCTGGAGGTGTTGTTGGTGCTGGAGGCGCAGGAGCTGGAGGTACTGGAGGTACTAGAGGTGCTGGAGCTGCCGGAGCTAGTGGTACTGCTGGTGCTGGAGGTGCTGGAGGTGCTACTGGAGGTGCTGGAACTAGAGGTACTGGAGGTGCTGGAGCTGCTGACGGTACGTGTACTGCGCCGTGCCAACCGTTTTTCTACCCGCAGCAGCGGTCGTCCGTGCCACCGCCTGACTCGACCCTTCGCCAGGTTCTTAGTCTCCCGTCTTCCACTGGCCTCACTCCACCTCTCCTTTGTCCACTGTCTGGCCCGTCTGAGTCACAGTTGCCACCTGGTTCCCCACTGTCTGCTCCTTCTCCCTACACTGAGCTGCCAGACTCCCTGACTGAGCGTCGTGAGCCTGCGTCTTGTGCCTCCACACCTGATCGTGCTCGTCGTGTCGCCCCTCCTCCTTCCTCTATTCCACAGCCGTCTCCTCCGACGTCCTCTCTTCCTGACGTGCCTGACCCTGAGTCCGATCTTGCTCGTGCTGCTAGTCCTGTTGTCACTCGTCTCCTCGCTGATGTCGTCATTGACCCTGACTTTGAGTCTACTGCTGCATTTGCCCTAGTCATTGAGCTAGTAGACTTTGCTGCTAGGAGTCATCTTGACTACGTCGCGAGTCTTGTTACTGAGTCTGAGTTGTCTGTCCTCCGTCCGTCGGGGGTGAGCCTGCCCTTGGCAGTGACGTCCTTGAGGTCAGGCAGTTTGAGCTTGAGTGTCTTGCGACCACTTTACCTCGTTTCACATCCATGCTGCTTTGCCCTAAGGGAGACCCGGATGCACTTGACATCCCTACCCCGCGCTCTTACGCTGAGGCGATCACGGGTGAGTACTCCTCTCAGTGGCAGACAGCCATGGACGTAGAGATGGCTCCCTGGAAGTCCACAGGCACCTACGTTGATGAGGCTCCTCCTCCTGGGGCGAACATAATCGATGGCATGTGAATTGTCAGAGTGAAGCTGCCGCCGGGTTCTCCGCCTGCCTTCAAGGCGCGTTACGTTGCTCGAGGCTTCACTCAGCGAGAGGGGGTCGACTTCTTCCAGACCTTCTCCCCCACTCCAAAGATGACAACTCTTTAGGTGTTGCTGCACGTTGCAGCACAGCGTGACTACGAGCTGCACTCCCTCAGCTTCTCCACAACTTTCTTGCATGGCAGCCTTCACGAGGAGATCTGGCTGCGCCGCCCACCTGGCTTCACTGGGTCGTTTCCTACGGGTACCCAGTGAGCCTCCAGTGGGCGGTCTACGGTCTCCGCCAGGCACCCCACGAGTGGCATGACACACTGAGGAGGACACTTGCGGCTCTTGGGTTTGCTCCTTCCTCTGCTGACCCGTCGATGTTTCTATGCACCGACACTTCTCTGCCGCCGTTCTACGTTCCCGTGTATGTCGGCGACTTGGTTTTTGCTACTGCTGACACTGAGGCGCAAGCCCTAGTGAAGGCGGAGCTGTAGGAGAGACACACCTGCACTGACCTGGTTGAGCTGAGGAGCTATCTTGGCTTGCAGATCACTCGGGACAGAGCACGATGCACCATCACCCTGACTCAGTCACACATGGTGCACCAGGTCCTTCAGCGCTTCGGCTTCCAGTACTCCTCGCGACAGCCCACTCCTCTGCCTACTGGCCACTTGCTCTCAGCTCCACCCGCGGACGAGTCTGTAGAGCCGAGTGGTCCGTATTCAGAGCTTGTGGGTTGCCTCATGTACCTGATGACGTGCACACGACCTGACCTTGCGTACCCTCTCAGCCTCCTGGCTCGCTATGTGGCTCCCAGTAGACACCGAAAGGTGCACTGGGATGCTGCGAAAAGGGTACTGCGTTACTTGTGCAGTCATCGGGCATGGGGCTCGTGCCTGGAGGACAGGGTTCAGTGGTACTCACAGGTTACTCCGACACTTCTTGGGCCGACGACCAGGCGACTCAGCGTTCGTCACAGGGTTACACCTTCAGTCTTGGCTCTGGCACTGTCTCGTGGAGGTCCACTCGTTCTTCTTGTGTGCTTGGTTCCTGCTGTGAGGCCGAGATCTACGCCGGGGCTATGGCTGCACAGGAGCTATGCTGGCTGACCTATCTGCTGACCGACTTGGGGGAGCGGCCTGGTTCTCCTCCAGTTTTGTAGATCGACAACAAGGCCATGCTGGCCTTGTGTCACGAGCAGAGACGGGAGCACAGACCTAAGCACATTGCTCTTCGCTAATTTTTTGCTCGAGAGCTGCAGCAGCGTGGTCAACTTCGCCTTTCCTACGTGGGCTCTCGGGCCAACACTGCTGATGTCTTCACCAAGGCACTTGGGTCTGGTGATCATCAGCATTTTTGCACTGCTCTAGGGCTTCTGCCTGTTCTGCCTCACCTGCTTGTCTCTTGATCTTGCACTTGTTGCACACTATATCTATATTAATACCTTCATGTCTACTTTTGCTAGTTTGTGATCAGTGTACTGCCTTGCTACTATAACTCTACTGGTCTTGGAGGTGACATAAAAAGGAAAATTATCAGTGAGACCTTTGAGGGGGCAGAAATAGGACGCGAAGTGACTTAAAACAACACAAACTCACCGTCCAGAAAGTACGGATGCCACTCCGCAGCCGTCCTTCGACGGGATGGAGCAATGTTTTTCACCGGCGAGCGACTCCACCTTGTTCTTGCTTACAAACCCGCCAAGACCATGGTCAAAAGGCTTGCTTGCCGAGTAGATGTTGCAGCGCCGCTCCGACCTCTTTTGGAACAGGATCCGCTTGGGAGCCCGAGATGGGGGCGTGCAGGAGAAGCGCTGCTAGGGCTGCCGAGGACGAGATGGGCATTACTCAGCCCCTCTCCTCCTTTCCTTCTCAGCCCCTCTCCTCCTTTCCCTCTTAGCCCCTCTCCTCCGTTCCCTCTCAGCCCCTCTCCTCCTTTCCCTCTCAGCCCCTCTCCACCTTTCCTTCTCAGCCCCTCTCCTCCTTTCCCTCTCAGCTCCTCTCCTCATTTCCCTATCAACCCCTCTTCCTACATCCTTGCACATGACCTTGCCGCATGCAACGCCTATCCAATGCTGAGTTCAACATGCTCAAGACGGTATGCCCAATGCACCATGCATTGTTCACCATGCCACGTGCCCCATGCCCCATGCACTGTTCACCACGCACTAATCACCTATCCGCCCCTCCTCCCCTCCACCACTTCCCCCTTCTCCCAGACCCCTCCCTCTCTCCTACACCCCCTCTGCTCCCCCCTGCTGTTGTTTGGAAGGGGGAGCGGCTGCGGCAGCACCTGCCATTGCTAGGGCTGGAGAAGGTACCGCAGGGGTTGGGTGAGTGCATGTCCGTGTTATAAGGTGCTGGGTGAGTGAGCTGTGCCCGTTATTTGGTGCTGGATGAGTGGATGTACCCCTTATAAGGTGCTGGGTGCGTGAGCTATACCCGTTACTTGGTGCTGGATGAGTGGATGTACCCCTTATAAGGTGTCCCTTGTCTCCCTTGTCTTGCTCTCCGTTTTCCCCCTTGTCCCTCGCTCACTTTCCGCTTTTACTTCCCTCCGTTTTCCCCCATGCTTCTCCCACCCTTTCCCCCCTGGTCTGCTCCTTCATCCCTCCGCTCTCGTCGTTCTTGTCGCTCTTGTCGCTCTCGTCGCTCTTGTTTCTCTCCTCACTCTCGTCCCTCCCGTCGCACCCCGTCGCTTCCCTCCCTCTAGACTATCCCTCCTGCGCCGTCCTTCCTTCATTCCTTCCTGCGCCTCTTGCCCTATAATGTTTTACCCTCCGTCCCTATGCGGTGTCCCCCCTTCCCTACAACCTGCTTTCCCCGTTCACCCCGCCCTCCCTTTCCCATTTTTCCTACGCGCAGCTTTCCCCCTTCCATGAGCGCTCGCATTCCCCTTCCGGACGAGCTGCTTTCCCCACTTCTCCCCACACAACTCCCCTTTCCCTACGCGCCATTTCCCCACCTCTCCCCGCGCAGCTCCCCCCTCCCTATGCGTTGCTTCCCCATTTTCCGCCGCGCTGCTCCCCCCTCCCTACTCGGTACTTCCAGATTCCTCACCCCCACAATCCCGTTTTCATTCCTTCGATTTTCCCCATGCCATATCTCTCGGTTTACCCCCTTGCCTTTCCCACCGTGTCACCCGCGCCCTTCCCTCTGTTTTGCCTTTGCCTCGCCCATCTGTTCTCTCTTGTTCTTCCCTCCTTTCTCTCCTCGCCTTACCCATTGATTCCCCCCCTTCCACAGCATCCCGTTCTGCCATTCCCTCCTTGTCCTTCCCTCCTTTCCCCCCTTGTCCCTCCCTCCCTTACCCTTTGTCCTTCCCTCCTTGTTTCGATCACTCTCGTTTCCCCCCTTCTCCTTCCCTCCTTTCCCCCCTTGTCCCTCCCTCCCTTTCCCCTTGTCCTTCTCAACGTTTTCCCCCATCCTTCTGTCCTTGCCTCCAGTTCCCCCCTTATCCCTCCCTCCCTTCCCTTCCCCCCCTTTCCATCCCTCTGTTTCCACCCTTGCCCATCCCTCCCTTTCTACCCTCGCTGTACTTCCCTCCCTTTTCACCCTTGTTTCTCCCACCCTTTCCCCTTTGTCCTTCCCCCTTTTTTTACCCTTGTTTCTTCCACCCTTTCCCCCCTGTCCTTCCCTCCTTTTTCACCCTTGTTTCTCCCACCCTTTCCCCCCTGTCCTTCCATTCTTTTTCGCCCTTGTTTCTCACACCCTTTCCCCCTTGTCCTTCCCTCCTTTCTCACACTTGTTTCTCCCACCTTTTCCCCTTGTCCTTCCCCCCGTTTTTCCCCCTATTATCTCCCTCCCTGAGGCCTTGTCCTTCCCTCCATTTCCCCCCTATCCCTCCCTCCCTTTTCCCCTGTTCTCCCCTCCATTTCACCCCTGATCCATCCCTCCCTTCCCCCTTGTCCTTCTTTCCGTTTTCCCCTATGTTTCTCCCTCCCTTTCCCCCTGTCCTTCCCTCCAGTTTCCCCCTTGTCCCTCTCTCCGTTTCCCCCCTTTCCTTCCCTCCGTTTCCACCCTTGCCCATCCCTCCCTTTCCCCTGTGTCCTTCCTTCCGTTTCCCCCCTTGTCTCACCCTCCCTTTCCCCCATGTCCTTCCCTCCGTTTCGCCCACTTGGCATTTGCCCATCACCCATCGCACAGCACAGCACACATGTCACGCGTGCATGCCTCTGTACCATAGATGTCATGCGAGCATGTGTGACACTTGTAGGTTCCAAGCCCACGTGGGTGTATTTCCCACCTACCGTGCAGCTAGCCACTCCCCCCTGCACTGCACCTGCCTCTTCTTCACCCACCCTGTGCTTCCCCTAGTGCCTCCCCATGTGCCTTACTCTGTGCCTCCTCCGGTGCCTCAATCTGCGTTTTCCCTCTGCCTTTCGCCGGCCCTGGCCGTTGGCACCTCCTCAGTCGTGCGCCTCCCCACCACCTCCCCATTCCCTGCCACCCTCTGCCCCCCATCGTTCTGCCCATCTCTCCGCGTGACTTCCCGGGTGGGTGTGGGGAAGATGGCGAGTTAGGTGTTGACGGGTCGTGGTGGCACATGCAGCAGGCCATCCTGCACCAGAGCTCGTCCCTCGGCCCGCCACAGCCGTGGGGGTGACAGGGATGGACTCACATCAGCTCAGGCATGGGCAGGCGGGGCAGCAGCACAGCAGGCAAAGCTGGTGCCACCGCCGCAGTTCCATGCTCGGTTTCTGAACAGCTTCTCTTCTGCCAGCTCGCGGTGCATGGCGGCAGCACTCACGATCATTTCACTGTGTCCTGCACATCTGCTTCCCCCTTTACCTTTCCTCTTTCCCTTCCTTCCTTCAACCCATCCCTCTCCCCCCATGGCAACCACCCCGGTAGACACCCCCCACTCCACAGACTCATGCATTCCAGCCCAGCCGTCCCTCTCTCACACCCCTGTCCCACCTTTCCTGTTCGCGTCTTCCTGTCCGCGATTTCTTCCCGTTTCTGTTTTCCTGGACGCACCTTTCCGTCCATTTACTGGTTTCTCGCACCTACACAGCAGCACGCGGATTCGTCATAGTATTCCAGCTGCCGAGCCTTACTTCCCGGCTTTCCTCCACTTGTTTCCGTTCACACTAACGCTCTAAATTGTGTTGGCAAAACAGAAGCCCAAGAGTAGTATCAATATACTTCTGTTACCATGCCTCTTAGCGCTGCTGTGTCCTGACCTCAACAACAGTTGTGCGACTCCGCGTGTGTTATTTGCTAACGAGGAACATTCTTCCCTCCCAGACCCTGGCCTGGAACTTACACCTAGCCCGCGCCATTTTCAATCCCCCCAATTGCAAAACATCTGTCGCCACCTCTGGGGGGGCTGTGACTGCTTGGGCTCAACAAGGAACAGTGAGTTGGCAGAGCCAACCCTGTAAATGCACTGACGCGTCAGCAACATTCGGAACTTTTTGGAGGGACGGACTAGAAGACGCGAAAATGATGCGTTGGTTCAGGTCTGAAATCCAACTCAAGAGGGGGAAGAGAATGACGTGGCGAATAATTATCGGCGCATTTCAATCCACACTCAGGTCTGAATGCCTAACAAGAACCAAATGACACGCCTTCAGACCACGGTAAATTCAAATGGCGACTTTCACAAAGTCAGCCAAACACATCACAATCGTTCGAAAGCAAAGGCAGGGAGTCTTCAGCTTCATTCAACCTCCTCGGCAGATAGAACAGCTTTAGCTTCCATTAGCTATTTCAAAGCCTAGCTATGCCTACTACACGGAGAAATACCGCATTAACTATCGGACAGAAACGGGAGCTCGTGTCTCATCACATTAAGAACCCTAAGCTCACCCTCAATCAGCTTGTTGCGTGGCTTGAAAGCAAATTCCAGAAAACGACGTGCCTCTCCACCATCTCTAAAATCTTAACACAAAGCAACAAATGGCTTGCGCCCACGTTATCACCATCCACACACAAAAGGCTTTCAGAAGGGCATTTTCCAGCACTCGAAACACGGCTTAGAGATTGGGCGATTAAGCAGAATGCAGCCAACTTCTCAATCAAGTTCAACATTTTGCAAGCAAACGCCCGAGAGATAGCGAGGCGCATGCGGTTGCCCAAGGAATTTGGGTGTAGCGCCGAATGGTTATGTAGAGCCCTCGTACGACTTGGAGTGTCATCGTATATTCGTAAAGGAGAGGCGTTGGATGCGAACAAGGAGGCGATCGCAATAACACGTGAGAATTTACCGCGTATTCTTCGGAATTACGAACCGTGTGACGTTTACAATTTGGACGAGACGGGGTTAGTGCAAGGGCAACAACCGCGGCGTACCTATGCGACCGAGCCCGTGTCCGATGGGAAATTAGACAAAGAGCGCTTCACTCTCGCCCTATGCGTGAATGCCGACGGCTCGGACTTTAGGAGACCTATCGTGATAGGGAAATCAATACGTCCTCGTTCTTTCAAAACCGATTTTTATATTCAGACTACGTATGGTATTGCGCAAACAAAAAGGGATGGATGACGAGCGAGGTGAGTCATTTGTCATGGGCGATCACATTGCATGCACCAATGTTATTCGTGTGGTTTCCATGCGCCCATCATTAATATATGTCATAATGCTCCCTCTACCTCCCCTCCCACAGATATTCACATAGTGGGTGGACACGTTATCCGCGGAAATGGAGAACTCACAACTGAAGATCCTCTTGCTCGTCGACAACGCCTCGTCACACAACATTTCGGAACGCTTTGTCAGAACTATACTCTAGGCTATAGTGGGGCACTCCTTATGGGGTACAGCCGTGTTAGGTTTTGCCGATACAAACCTTGTACTGTCCTCATTCTAGTCATTCCTCGTTCTAACTTTTAACATGGTTTCAGAGCAGGTTCCCTAGAGGGCCCACCACGAACTTTTTTTTTTCTGCCCAGCCCGAAGCGCACTGCCGTGCCTGCCTGCCCCGTCACGCGCCCTCGAGCGCCTGCCGACCCGCGCCCTCGAGCGCCTGCCCTGCCTGCGCCCTCGAGCGCCTGCCCTAACCGCGCCCTCGAGCGCCTGCCCTACCCGCGCCCTCGAGCGCCTGCCGTCGCCCTGCCCTGCAGGCAGCGCGCGGGCCTGCCCTGCACCCGCGAAGCCGCCCCTGGACCCCGCGACGCCGCCTCTGGACCCCGCGACGCCCCTGCGGGACCCGGGCGTCACCCCTGCTCGTCGCGATGCCCCTGCGGGACCCGCGCGGCGCCGCTCCTGCTAGTCGCGATGCCCCCTGGGCGCCGTCCCTGCTCGTCGCGGCGCCCCCCCCCCCCCCCCCCCTGGCCGCCGCGCCCTGCCTCATCTGCGGCCCGCCCGCACCCTGCCCCACCCCGCGCCCGCCCTTGGGGCGGCCGCCCCTGCCCTGCCCTGCGCCGTCGCGTCTGCAGCAGCCCTCGCAGCTCTGCCGTAGCCGCTGTCGCGGCCCTGCCCCGCCGTTGCCGCGGCCCTGCCCCGCCGTTGCCGCCGTCGCGGCCCTGCCCAACCGTAGCCGCCGTCGTGCCTGCAGCCGCCTTCGCGGCCCCGTCGAAGCCGCCGTCGCGGCCCCGTCGTAGCCGCCGTCGCGGCCCCGCTGCAGCCGCCTGTCGAGCGCTTGCGGCCACCCGTCGAGCGCCGGACCTGCCCTACCCGTGCCCGTTGAGCGTCTGCCCACCACCGCCGGTGGCATCTGCCCTAACCGCCTCTGGTGAGCACCTGCCCTACCCGCACTGCCCGCGCGCCTGCCTTACCACCGTGCTGCCGCGCGTGCCGCGCCTGCCTGCCAACCGAGCGGCGCCGCCCAGCCAAGCCGCGCAGCCCAGCCGAGCCGCGCCGCTCGGCCAAGCCGCGCCGCCCTGCCCTACTGAGCCGCGCTGCTCTGCCCTGCTGCTACTGCTGTTCCAGCTGTCACTGCTACTACTGCTGCACTGCCACTCCTGCTGCTACTGGCGGTGGCCAGATGCAGCTCCAGCGACGTCCGCGTGAGTCCCTCACGCCCCAGCAGCTTCGTGAGTGGTACGCTAGTTGGGGTTGTAGGGGTGGCCGTGGTGGGAGTCGCCCTGGAGCGGGTCGTTCGGGAGCTTCTTGTAGTGGCCCGGTGCAGCTGTAGCGGCGTCCGCGCGAGATCCTTTCGCCCCAACAGCTTCGTGAGTGGTACGCTCAGAGTAGAGGGTCACGGATTACTGCTCGCTGCCCGTACGTCATTCGTACAGGTGCTCGGGCTGGTCAGCATTGCGGGACGGTTGGTCACACAGAGTCCCGCTGCTTCTCCTGTCTGAGCGACGCCTGGCGTACAGAGTTTGGCGACGACGTTGAGCTCCCCTCCTGGCTGGAGCTGCTTAGGCAGAGGGTAGATAACTTCGCTCTTGACTATGACGCTATCCTCACTACCATGTATGCATTGCCTACTAGTGCTGAGGGTGCCTGTTACCTGTGTGTGCCGCCTGACCCTGGTATCGAGTCTGCTGCTCTTGGTGCTGGTGAGGCTGCTGCTCTAGGTGCTAGTGCGTCTCCTGCTCCAGGTGCCGGTGAGGCTGCTGCTCTAGGCGCTAGGGAGTCTACTGCTCCAGGTGCTGGTGAGTCTGCTCTCTCTGGTACTGCGCATGCTGCGGCCTTGCACACCTTCACGCTTGACTCAGGAGCTTCCCGCTCCTTCTTTCGCGACTGCACCACACTCACGCCACTCAGTCGGCCGGTTGCAGTCTCCCTGGCTGACTCCTCTAGGGGTCCAGTCCTTGCGCACTCCTCTACGGTTCTGCCGTGTCCGGCGGTCCCGTCTGGCTCACTGTCGGGTCTTCATCTCCCCTCGTTCTCTACGAACTTGGTGAGTGGAGCTGACCTTCAGGACGTGTGGGTTGACCAGTTCACTCTTGGAGGTCAGCGGGTGACCCACTGTACGTGCACACGGACGGGCCGACACCTGGCCAGGTTCACCCGGCAGCCTGGGTCGAGCCTGTACACACTGACTACTGTGTCTCCTCCGGTTGCTGAGTCTGGTCAGGTCGCTGCGTCGGGTCAGGCGTTTGCTGCAGTGTCCTGGTCTGGTCCTGAGTCTGCCCCCTGCTCGTGTCACCTCTTGTCTCACCAGACTCTCCTCTGGCACCACCGCCTTGGTCACCCCTCCCTGTCTCGTCTCCGCGGCATGGCCTCCCGTGTCCTTGTCACTGGTCTTCCCCGGTCTCGCCCTCCCCTTCCCCCGGGGCCTGCCCCTACCTGCGTTCCTTGCGTCGAGGGGCGGCAGCGCGCCACTCCTCACTCCTCCGAGTTCCCTCCGATGGAGGCTCCTCTGCAGACTCTTCACATGGAAGTGTGGGGCCCAGCCCGCGTCCGTGGACAGGGTCACGAGCGCTACTTTCTGCTGGTCGTTGATGACTACTCGCGTTACACCACAGTCTTCCCCTTGCGCCGCAAGGGTGAAGTCACTGAGGTGCTGATCGACTGGATCCGCGCAGCCCGTTGCCAGTTCAGCGAGAGTTTCGGCTCGGACCTTCGTGTTCTGCGTCTGCACTCCGACAGAGGTGGAGAGTTTTCCTCCGACCTTCTGAGGACCTT